GGCTGCCGTTCGTGGCCCACGAGCAGATCTCCCTTGCGGGCGCCGTGCATCTTGTCTACCTTGGCTGCATCACCCCCAGCGCATCCGCGTCTTCCCCGTTCCACGGCCACGTGCAGAGGTGGCCTAAGCCCCCTGCGCAGCTCATTGCCCCCACACCGACCTGCCTTGTCGTATTCTGCGCCTTTCTGGTGCTTTCCCGGGTGTTCTTCTCCAGGCATTGCTCTGGGGCTTGTTTCTGCTCGCAGGACTTGTGCATCCTCACACTGCTCTGGCACAGCTGGTGATCCCATTTGCAGCTTCCTCGTCTGGATCCTGGAGGCTGCGGTGTCTGCCCCAGTGTTGCCCGCACACCAGGACAGTCTTGAGGATGCCCCAGAGGAAAGGAAAGCAAAAAGCTGGCAGAGGGGATGAGCCTGAGGCAGAGGCAGATGCTGCAGAGCTGCCGCGTTTGTCTCCAGAGCAGAACATGGAGGAGGAAGCCATGGGGAAGCTGGAGGAGGCCGTGCGGGAAGCCCGGCAAAAGGCAGCCCCATCCGTGCGGGAGTTCAAGTACAACAAAAAGCGAGTGCGTCTCATCTCACAGGGCTCGGAGCTCAAGGATGACGCTAAGTGCATCCTTTACTGGATGTGCCGAGACCAGCGTGTGCAAGGTAGGAACCAGCCTACCCAGGGGCTGGCAGAGAAGCGAGGAAATAAAGAGCATTCCGCCTAACACAGTCCCCTGCTCTTTCTCCGCAGATAACTGGGCTTTCCTCTATGCCCAGCGACTGGCCCTCAAGCAAGAGCTCCCTCTGCATGTCTGCTTCTGCCTGGTGCCCAAATTCCTGGATGCCACCATCCGCCACTATGGCTTCATGCTGCGGGGTCTGCAGGAGGTGGCCAAGGTACAGACAGTTGCGGGGAGGTTCCGTGTGGGGAGGTCCCATGTGACGTGGCAGGGACAGAGCTCCTGGGGAAGGAGAAGCAGGGCTGGTCCTGCGGCAGATCAGGGTGAGGTCATGTCTTCAGAGGCCCAACCTTTGCTTTACCTTTTCCCCTTCACTGCAGGAGTGCACAGAGCTGAACATCCCCTTCCACGTGCTGCTGGGCTACGCCAAGGACGTGCTGCCCGCGTTCGTGGTGAGGCATGGCGTGGGGGGGCTGGTCACAGACTTCTGTCCCCTCCGCATCCCCCAGCAGTGGGTGGAAGACGTCAGAGAGCGGTTGCCGGAGGATGTGCCGTTTGCACAGGTAGGTCCCTGCACCCTGGAAGGGGAGTGGGCTGGTTGGGAAGAACCGTGAGGGGTGAGATACGGGAGATTTTCTGGATTTTTGTGCCTGTGCAGGTACACTGGAGTGCCTTCAGCAGGCGGTCTCTCCTGGATCTCCCCTTGTTCATGCTCAAGCTTTAGTCAGACAAGTGGGAAATATCCCATTCTGTCAGAAAATGCAGTGCAAGGATCATCTGTGTGTTGTGTCATCAAGAGCGTTTTTCTCCTGCTCATAGTCTCCTCCACGGCTCTGCTTCCCAGGTTGATGCCCACAACATTGTGCCCTGCTGGGTCAGCTCCCCCAAGCAGGAGTACACTGCCTGGACCATCCGGAGCAAGATCCACAGACAGCTCCCAGAGTTCCTCACCGAGTTCCCTCCAGTCATTCAACACCCATATCCCCCCTCCACTCCGGCAGAGGTAAGAGGGAGCCACCCCTCTACTCCTACTTGTGCCCATCCTCAGACAGTTCAGCTGCTGCTCTCTGATCCTGGCAGGGGAATGGTGGGGCTTGAGGGGGCAGTGACTTTCCTGAGGTCGCACACAAGTGGTTTAGAGCTGAGGGCAGCCCAGGATGATCAGGTTCCTACCCCTTTCTACCAGGCAATGAGCAAGTGTCAGCTCTACACTGGAGGCAGTGGTGCTGAGTGGATGCTGGGTTGGTCAGCAGCAGGATGTCAGGGGTTGGGGGCTTGCTCCTGGGGGCCAGGCCTGAGGACACCAGGGAACACGTTCAGGGCAGCACTGGCTAAAGAGCATCAGCTTTTGGAGCTTGGCTGTCACACAGCAAAGCGCTCATGCCGCCTGGTCGCTGCCCAGCCCGTCGCTTGGGAGGCCTGTGATTCCAGCTTGCAGGTGGATCGCACCGTGAAGGAGGTCGCATGGGCGACCCCCGGCACTGCCGCAGGGCTGGCTGTGCTGCAGTCCTTCATTGCCGAGCGGCTGGAATCCTACAGCTCCCACCGGAATAACCCCAATAAGGCAGCTCTCAGCAACCTGTCACCGTGGTTCCACTTTGGTGAGTGCCTCGGCTTCCCGGCCCACATGTGGGGCTGAGGGTAGAGGTGGAGACGCTGCATGGGAGCAGGGCCCAGCACAGCAGCTCAGAGCGGCAGCCTGACCTGCTCTCTGTCTGGTCCCCAGGCCAGATTTCCACCCAGAGAGCCATCCTGGAGGTGCGGAAGCACCACAGGAAGTACCAGGAGTCTGTTGACGTCTTTGTGGAGGAGGCCGTAGTGCGGCGGGAGCTGTCTGACAACTTCTGCTACTACAACAAGAACTACGACAGTGTTCAAGGTAGCACATCAGGGCCAGGTGGGCAGTGATGGGACTAGGCCACTACGCTGCTGTGGTCACCCCAAATTGGCAATCCCCCCTTTCTGCTAGGGGAGGAGCCATGGGGGCAGACATGCGTCATCCTTCCGTACCTTCTGGATGTAGGACAGGAGCTTGCTGATGTCTTGTGACAGAGAGAGAGGGAGAAACTACCTCTACCAGGGTGCCTTTGGGGTTCGTGTCTTCAGTGCAGCCCGTTTCCATATCATTTTATTGGAGCCTTGCAGAGCAAGTTACTCAGCGTCACTTCTGGTCTCTGCCTCACAGGTGCCTACGACTGGGCACAAACCACACTGAAGCTCCATGCTAAGGACAAGAGGCCTTTTCTCTACAAGCTTCAGGAATTGGAGCAGGGGAACACGCATGACCCACTTTGGAACGCTGCCCAGGTAGTGCCCCATGTCCCTTGATGCATCTTGAAATACTGAGCAGCTCCCTGCCCCAGCAGCCATGCTGTCTGCCTGGAATCCCCAGCAATTCGATGCTCCCAAAATCTGGGGGTGGGACCTTCCAGGTGGGCATTGGTGTATTGCCACCTCTTCACCTGATCCCAGGTGAGGAGGAGGAGCACAGTGATCAGAAGACCCTCGTTTGGGCATGGCCCTGTGGGTAGGTGGATGTTACACTCTGGCAGCGTCCAAGGGCCTCTAATTTTCCTGAAGGGGAGAGGCCAATGGGCAAGGATCCACCCCTGCAGGTTGCCCCTCTCTCCACAGCTCCAAATGGTCCAGGAGGGCAAGATGCATGGCTTCCTGCGGATGTACTGGGCCAAAAAGATCCTGGAGTGGACACGCTCCCCTGAGGAGGCTCTGCAGTTTGCCATCTACCTCAATGATCGCTACGAGCTGGACGGGAGGGATCCCAACGGATACGTAGGCAAGTTGCAGAAGGTGGCATGGCGTGGGGGTTGAACTTCTGATACCAGTGAAGGGGGAGGGAAGCTCCCTGCAAAGAACCCAGCTCTTTGCCCCATTTTCCTTTGCTTCCATGTCCCAGCTGTGCTCCAGCTCCTCAGGCATCCCTGAGAGCAGCGACACTGACGCTACGTGTGTGTCCTGCAGGCTGCCTCTGGTCCATCTGTGGCATCCACGACCATGGCTGGACGGAGCGGGCCGTGTTCGGCAAGATCCGCTACATGAACTACGCCGGCTGCAAGAGGAAGTTTGATGTGGGCCAGTTCGAGCGTCGCTACAGTCCCCACAAGCTCCACAAGTGAGCAGCACTGCAGCACCCCCGCTGCAAACAAGGCCACGGACCACGCGTGCCTCACGGCTGCTGGTGCTCTCCGTGCTTGGGGCAGACGGTGCCTGTGCCAGGATGCTGGCTCCTGCCCTGCAGCGATCGTCCTGGGTGCTGCTGGAGGAGATGCTGCAGAAAGCGGCAAGCGCCAGGGCGTGCAGGTTTCTTTCCTCTGGCTTCGTTCCCCTGCTCTAGCTCCTGTGCGTGCGTAGCTGTGCAAGAGCCTTCCCAGAGCCTGTGCAGGGCAGTTTGGATGTCACAGCTTTACTCCTGTCCGCGAGATTCCACCCTCAGCCTGCCAGAATAAGCTGTGCTCAGGAATAAGCCAAAGATGCCTTTGCTGCTGCTAACCCCAACATAGCTTATGGATGAGTAAGGCTTTTCTGAGGAAAAGCTCAAAGAAAATGACTCCTCCTGCCCAGCTTCCAGCAGCTTCCCTGTCTTCCAGGCCCCCAAAGCCCAGCTTCACCCCACATAGAGAAGGTGCTGTGCAACCACGGACATCCTCACAATGACGCTGGCATTTTGTTTTAAAGTTTGCAGTCTCTAGCTGCTGTGTCTGTAGTGTTTATAGAGAGCCATGCAGGGAGACACACAGCACTGCTCCAAGGGAGAGCCCTGGGGGGCAGGGTGCAAGCAGGGAAGGGGCCCCTGGGCTTGGGCTATGCCCCTGGGACCATTTTGCCGGCAGTAAGGACCCTCAGAAAAGGATCATGTTAGAGAGAACCCCTTCAGCAGCTGCTCCGAATCAGCAGCTCCCTTCTGCTCCAGCAGACGCTTTGCAAAGGGGTGCTGCAAACCAGACAGCTTCATCAAGGGGTGGTGGCACTAACCCCTCTCAGACGTGGGATCCCAGCCCCAGCTGTGCAGTCACACAGGTTGGTTTGTTGTCCCCCCCACCCTGCCCCTGGCAGCAAAGCTGGGGGAAAAAGGCACCCCTAGGTGCCCCTGACAGCTACTGCATCCTGCTCCCTCCTCCCTTCCTGCCCTGCAGCCAACAGGCAACTGCAGCATCAATCCTGCAAGGAGAGGCCACGGGGTCACGATCTGCCACACCACCACCAGGCCTCTTTTCTGTTAACTTAGTTTATTAGGGACGGCATTTTCGCGGCTATGCTGTGCAGTAGTCCCGAGGGGGGCTCCTCGTGCGCCTTGACGAGTCCCAGGGTTAGGTGCAGCAGTCAGGGCTGTGCAGCCCCAGGAGGGCAGCAGGGTTAGTGTGAGCACAACCTTGCGCTGGAGACCATCGCCACGCTGCGAGTTGGGCGGCGCTTCCGCACAGGGCCCACGGCGGAGGGTGGAGAACATAAGTAAACCCAAATCCATTCACTCTTGTCTAAACATACTCAGTGCTTCTAGAAACAGTTGTGGGCAGCATGTCGGCCAATGTCCCACAACATTAAAGTGCTTCAAACAAAACAGCGTGGCTGAAGTTGCAGTGCCCTGGGCTGCCATTTGGAGAGGGGAGCAGTTACTGTCTTTGCTGAGCTGGGCAGCAGCACAAGGAGGGCAGCCCAGAGGGACAGCAGGCAAGAGCCAAGGAAGGGCCGTCCTCTGGCAAGCTGGGACCAGCTTCTGGCAGCCCCAGGGCTTGCGGCGTTGAGGCTGGTGAATGCCCACGGGCTGAAACAGGGGACAGAAGAGCAGCTGCTCCCCGCGGCAGAAAAAGCAAAATGAAGGAAAAGGTTTAAAAAAAAAAAAAAAAAAGCAAGGGAGCAGGTGAGGAACTAAACTGCCTCCTGGAGCTGGTACTTGCAGCCCTTGGCTGGGCCAGGATGCTCCAGAGCACCCAGCTTCTCGTCCCATGGGTTAAGACCCAAGGGCAGAGCAGGGGTTGACTTGCCCAGAGAAGAGCCCTGCCACATTTGCAGCTTTCGGTGCAGCTTCCCCAGGGAAGAGGCTTCACCCACGGATTAGGACAGAGAACAGACTCCACTGCAGCTACTGGCACCACATCCTGGGGAGCTGCTCACCAGGGCCCACCCCTGCTGGGTCCCTGCAGGATCTCAGGGGCTCTGCAACGCCCAGCAGGGCAGAGACGCTGCTGGGAAGGGCCCTGTCCCTCCGAGCGAGGCTCCTGGGAACCCCTCGCGCTCGGCCCAGCTTCACTTTGCAGCAGCTCTCTGCACCGCAGCCTCTTCCCTCCCCTTCTGCCCTCACTCAGCAGGGCCACCACATGAGACCACGTCCAAGCCTTGAGCAAGGGCACGTGCTGCGAGAGCTATTGCCCATAAACGCCTTCCACCTCAGCACTGTCCCCTGTCCCTCAGCACCCTCCTTGCACATACACAGGCCAAACTGCTCTTCCTACCACGTTACAGCCGGGCCAGCAGGTGCTTCGCCCCCATGCTGACGTGCTGGGCACCCGCCTGCCTTCCTCCCTCCCATGCCCAGGACTAACATCCCCGTGACACCCCCTAAGGAGACCCCTTGGCCCACGCTGCGGCGCTCCCTGTGCACCACCCAGAGCGCTGGGCTTG